CAAACACATTTTTGCGCAAGTGTCTCAATGTCAGATCTGGATTCTTCGCAAAAAAATTACATATAGAAAGTAATTTTCATTGATTTTGGTCCATGTTAATAAGAGAGAATTCCTGGAAAATCCTCTAGTTGTCCGAAAGTCTTTTCGCCCAGATGTTGTGTGCTGGTATGAGTTGTTTTTACAGAAACGTATAGAACTCGCTTTGCTCTTTCATTTGAGACTAAAATGAAGGTTCTACGACACGTTCTCTAGCTACACGAAGCTTTGCAATATAGGTCATTTGCGCTGGAAAATGAAGAAAAAAAGCCGTTTTTGGCTGGGACAGTATTTTGCTTATAACTTTTTTTTTCGAAAAAGATAGAGAGCTGCGGTTTTTATCATTGAAATCAGCATCAAGAACTGCATCCAGTGATGTATGTTACGCTTCTTGCGTAACTACTTTTGTATAATGTGGTCGAGGCCTTGTGGATTTAGCCAACACTGATTGAGGAAAAATACTTTGAGCTATATTATAAATGAATTCATTAGAAAAGAATCATGATTTAATCTGTTTGATATTAATCTGTATGATATGAATCGGATAAAAATGTATTATAACGGTTATGTATGTACAAAAAATATTGGTTTTATTGTTGATCTTCAAATAAGAAAAGAAGATAAAAATCGTATTAAATGAATTTTTTCATCATTATTTCAATCACATATTTTATTTTTTTTTATAAATATCAATAATTTGATTTTTTTCTATTTATTTTTGTCATAGTAATTTTGATAATAAAGATTTCAAGATAATTATAAAAATAGGCTTAAAACCAACAACATATGTTTGAACATAAATTTCTCCTCTTCACTATTAGAAGCATAGGCGTGTTGACCTAAAGAATCCTGTAATCACCTTCATTGACTTTACTTATCTAGAGTATTTGTCATTATTCAATTGGCTTTAAGTCAGAAATGAGTCTATTAATAATTCCATCACCAGCGAGACTAAAATATTGTGACAGAAATAGAAAATTAGTACAATCAGCGTTCTCCTACGCATCAATAATTCTTATTTTATGAATTTTTCAAGTTTTAATTAAAATCTCAACTGTCTACTAAATAATTGAGCGCAATCATGTAATAATAACATATTACGACGTTGCTTTAAATGAATTTGAATCTTGATGAATTAATCTACAATAGAAGATTTAAATAGTGTTTCCTTATTTTGTAATAGATGACAGACAATATTTTGTGTATGTTAATTCGATTCATTAATTATTACAGATTTGTAACAAGCATTGTTTTCTTTAGAAGACGATTATCATCTTGATCGAAAGTGCATATACAAAGCTCTCGATATATCTGATCAAAGGAACAAGAATATTTATTTTATTAGTTTCTGACAATTTTCTAAAGATATTAAGTAGCTTAAAGTATATGTACTTTGAAATATTATAAGAAACAATAGAAGATTAGTTTCCTGACAATTTTTCAGAGTATATTTTATATTTTATGAGAAATAATTTTATAATCCTGATGTCACTTGCAACGTTTATGATGATAAAATAATTATTAAGGACAATTAAAACAAATTATTCAACAGATTTTTTTTGCTGCAATGTTATTTCAGTCGAATGTAAAATACTTTGAATATTTTCTAAATTTCTTCTTTTTTTCATAATTAAAAGAAAATACTAATATTCACCATTTTTTATATTTTTAAAGATTCTTAAAAGAAAAAGCTTTTATATTAATATTCTCATTTAATAACAACCATTAATTGTTTAATCAGAATCCAGAATTAACATTTTTCTTATGCATTAAAATAGTTTACTTTTTCTTTGATCAGTAATATCTATAAATATGTGTAACATGCATGGATAACATAAAAATAAAAAAGAAAACAACAACAAGCTGAATTTTTATCACAACTGTTTAAAAACAATAAGTTGTAGATCATTACTAGATGATTCGTTTAGAGACAATTTATTTGTTCTTAAAGTAAATAAAATGAATAAAAAAAAAAAGGAAGAAATTCCTGTTTATAATCGTTTTTGAGTTTTTTGTTCGAATTCTGGATGTGCACCTAAATTATCAATAAATACTTGTGGTTTAATTTTGTGTTCACAAATGAGATGAGCATCACGAAATAATGGAAATCGATCTAATAAATTATTTGCTTGAAGATAACGATAAACTTCTTTTGCTGTACTTGGACCTTGTAATGATTGTCCCTTAAGATCTTCTTTTTCAATATCTTTTAATGATTTATTTGTTTCAGTCATTTTTTTTGCACCCGTATAATTTCTTCCGGCTCATTCTCAAAAGAGATACTTTTTCTTATATATCCTTCTCTTATATTTTCTCTATGGCTATTTATTCTTTTAATATATCTATTTATTCTAGTACAGCTATTTAATCTTGTGATCAATCTTTCATCTTCGTCTGTAGCTATTTAGTTTTCGCATGACTATTTAAACTTTTCTTCAGCTATTTATTCTTTTAATATGGCTATTTAATCTTACAATGAGTCTTTCTCTTAAGTCTGTAGCAATTTAATTTTCGAATGACTATTTAAACCTTTCTTCAGCTATTTAATCTTTTGATAGAACTATTTAATTATCGAACAGCTGTTTTATATCACTGGGCAGCTACTTAATGTCTCTGACTATTTAAGCTTTTTTTCAACTATTTAATCTTTTGATGCAGCTATTTATTGATTGTACGACTCTTTAATCTTTGAGTAGTCGCGTTTTTTTTTCTACACCTAGTGAAGTTTGTATATCCGTTTAGAACGGTGTACTGTTATTTAGTGGTTATATAGGTTTGCTGTCGTTTTTAAACGTACTTAAATTATGACGTAGCTTCTTTTGTTGATGATATCGTTGAGGAGGGTTTGATGAAAAAAAATATATGATTTTACTTTCTTTTATAAATGTATTGAAATCATACGTAGGTGAAGTTAGCACCATATTCGAGTAAATCCTGCCCATATTCGTTCAGGAGCGTGTTCCAAGTGTACCAATCAGTGTTCCAACTACAAATCGACGAGCTCTATCTAATGGTAACTTTGGGTTTTCCATAGCCCAAACCAATCGTGAGAAAAATCCAAAAAACTGCTCTTTTTCCATAGGAAAAACCAAACCTACTTACTAAAACCTGCCCATATTCGTCCAGGAGCGTGTTCCCAGTGTTCCAGCCGGG